AAGAGAGGGGATGCACAGGTACAGCAATGCCTTGGGATTATGTCTAGTAGTTCAAGCAATAGTTTTATGCTTTCAGCTTTATTCCCTCTTCCATTCTTTGAACCATTTCTACCCCTTGTCTCTACTCAATAGTGGTGCTAGAAAGTGACAAGAGAGAGTGTTCATTCCCACACTCATGAGAACAGGAATTCTGCCTTTACACTGAATGAGAGCAGGGACATCCCTTTAACAGTGAAGTATGTTAAAATCTTTGACAGAAATGCCTCTGTATTTGCAACATATTTGTAGTGACTTCTCAGACTTGTCTGATCAACAGGTGGAGCAGGACTCCGGAGGGATGGAAAGAGGCTGGTTAGCAGAAATGTGGTTTCAGAGGGAGCTACTGGTATAATTTCTCTTTGGAAGCATGGGTCAGGCAATACAAAGATGCACACAGTGTGAACCCAGACAGACAAAATTTCTAAAATCATCTTTGCTCAGTCTAACTTGGTGCTGTAGTCAGACACATCCTGTCTCACACCAGACAGAAACGTTGTGTTCTTGCATTTTCACCAAACATTATTACAAGTTAAAACCTATCTGCATAAAAATCCTCTACATGAGATTTCTCATCTGCACAGGGTGTAGAAAAATTGCATATACTCTGTGCTACATACTGCTTTTTCTTATCCATGAATGACATTCCTGACATTTTAGGGGTTTTTGAAAATTAAAATGCCAGCTGGCACAGTATAATTAGACTTTGCTTCTTTGTAGTGGCTGATAGGGATACCCACCCTGCTTCATTTCATACCAACTTCTGTTTCTTCCCCATATAAACTTGCTACAAGACAGGTGGCACATAAACACTTATGTCAAAAATGTTCCTCAGGAAACTGAGATCATGGAAGAAGTCTATGTGCCAAAGACATTGTTTAGAAATTGTTTAAGTCTTCATTGTGTGGAATTTCATTCAAATGTTCCTTGTTTGATTCCCAACCACCACCCTTTGGACCTCATCTGGCTGCAGGAGATAAGAAGGGGTTGCAAGAACTTTGCTTCACTGGATACACTAAAGAAACAATTTTGATAACAAGGTTTGCCAACAAGTTTCCTTCTGTGGTTCCACACTAGAAATCAGCCAAGAAAGTTGACTTATCTCAAGACCAAATTACAAAATTCTCAGCTACAACCTTTTTTTCTTTTTTTCTTTTTTTTTTGCAAATGCAGTTCTCAGAAAACAAAAGGAATATTGATTTTTACCCACTTGTGAAGACCTTCACCAAAAAAGTTTCTGCTTTGTTTCAGACATTGCTGGGATTTGAACTTGGGTTGCTGCATCTCCCACCTCAGTAGGATTAGCCACACACTCCACTGTAGTAACTCCCTCTAAAACAAGGAAGCTCAGGTTTGTTTTCACACAGACGATTTTCAATGTCTGTTCTTATTGCATCAATTCATACCTCAGAACCTGCTTTGATATGCCTAAAGAGAAGAAACTGCATCCTGCAGCCTTGGCTCTGCGGAGGGCATAGAGAGCTCTAGAGAGGGCAGAGCTGTTGATTTGCCTGCCAAGACTGACCAAGCTTAGGGGCAGCAGGAACAGGAGGAGTC